AAACTAATTTTTTTACTTTTGGAATGCCAGTAAAAACGTGGCTGTGCCAGTACAATTTGGGTGTTGTGTCAGTGAGTTTCAATCTGTTAGGTTGACAACACTGGTGGCAGGAATAGTGTCAACATTTATCAGTGGGAGAAATGGTGCCCCATCATTGGTGTTAGTGGGAGGAATAATGCCCCATCATTGGTGTCAGTGGGAGGAATGATGCCTTATCGGCGTTGTCAGTGGGAATAGTGTCTCATATGGGAGGAATAGTGCCCCAAGGGCCACCTTAGCACATATCAAAATAAAATAACAATCACAAGAACTGACCATTTCCCACCAGACTGGGGAGAAAGCCCATGTCTATGGAGCAATTGAGGATATTATTTATTACGTATCTTAGAAAGAAAATAATCAGACAAGTTCCAATTCTTGTCTGATTGCTGTTGTTTGTCCCATGTTGCAACAGTCTGCGCAGTGTTGAATATAGCCTCTCCTGTCGTACACTGGAGTCTTTCTGTTTATAATTGAAGCAGGGGCGGACTGACAACTCATGGGGCCCCCCGGGCAATAGGGGATCATGGGGCCCCTGTGTCCTTGCCCACATTCAAAAAAGCCTATAAAAAAGGTACCAGGGGTATTTCATGGGACCCCTACTGGCAGTGCCCGAGTGCTCGAATGATCAGTCCGCCCCTGAATTGAAGCTTCATGCACATGGGTAGTGTGACCTATCAATGTCAAAACCTGGTGTTTTTGGGCACCAGTGAGAAACAGGAGCAACATCAAACCCTACTGCCAGCGGCCTGTCAAAATTCAAAAAAGCCTATAAAAAACCAGGTACCAGGGCCCGAGTATTTCATGGGACCCCAAAACCTACTGGCAGTGCCATCAAACCCTACTGCCAGTGCTCGAATGGGGTCATGTCCAGCCCCTCGAATGGTCAGTGAAGCTTCATGCACATGGGTAGTGTGACCTATCAGTGTCAAAACCTGGTGTTTTTGGGCACCAGTGAGAAACAGGAGCAACATCAAACCCTACTGCTGCCAGCGGCCTGTCAAAATTTACAACAAGATGAAATTTGTGAAGGCAGATGGATGCTATACCAAGCAATACTCACATTTAGGGCCATATGTGTTTAGACGTGTATGTTCTGAATGCAGGGATCTGGCATTCAGCACATATATCCCTAAATATTTACAACCATAAACGTGAGTATAGCATAGTACAGCGTCCAACCATGTCAAACACCTCCCAGTACAGCGTCCAACCATGTCAAAACACTGCGCATTTCAGCCTGTCGTAGACTTTGACAGTTTGTTGGTAGTAGGGCTTGCTTCTGGGTGCCAAATATGCCAGGATTTGATGCTAATGAGCCAAACCACATGTGTGCATAAGGCCTCGACCATAAAGCAACTGCATCTGTGCATCTAGAGTGCCCAAAAATGCCAGGATTTGCCTCCAAACACGAATTCTTCTGCGCTCTAGGACCCAGGCGGGTGGCACATAGATGGAACCAGAACTGGAAAACAGCGACCACCAGTGCTCAAAGGTTGTGCGGCTCCAAACAAGGCTGGGGAATCCCGACCAACACTACAGAGCGAAATAAAAACGAGAAGCGCACAAACCTTGCGCATTACCTCAGTAAACACAAATTTATTAATAAGAAAGGTACTCACAAACAGCGAATAAAATCAGGCATGTAAGTCCTCACAGGGACTTCAGAGATAGAGAGCCAGCGCGAGTCCCATCGTGGGGGTAAGCACTCAGTTCACTGACGCGTTTCGAAGGCCAAACCTTCTTCATCAGAGCTCTGATGAAGAAGGTTTGGCCTTCGAAACGCTTCAGCTGAACTGAGTGCTTACCCCCACGATGGGACTCGCGCTGGCTCTCTATCTCTGAAGTTCCTGTGAGGACTTACATGCCTGATTTTATTCGCTGTTTGTGAGTACCTTTCTTATTAATAAATTTGTGTTTACTGAGGTAATGCACAAGGTTTGTTCGCTTCTCGTTTTTATTTCGCTCTGTAGGATTTGCCTCCGACAGACCAAACTGGTGAGGTGCACATAACCTAAAGCTGTGTCAGAGGCCATCATTTTCTTGCCTCTCCAATACGAAAGGAAGGAAGGTAAAAAAGAGGGTGAAGGAATGAAAGAAATAAGCAGTTAGGAAGAAAGAGAGGAAGGGAAAGGAATAAGGAATCGGAAGTTGTGTTACCACCCTATAACAAAGTGATAAGAGAAACCTGTAGGAGGTGAAAATTATTATTCTCGAATTATCCAGGCTCTTCGGATTCCACCCACTGGAGGTTAGATTTGAGTTTAAGCAGATCAGTCGGTTTAGCTCTAAAAAAAGAAAAAAAAAAATCAAAACAAACAAAAAAGACAAAACAGTTTTCTAATTACTGCACCCTTGGAATTTTCCACCTGTCTTGTATGGATGATTAATATTTATGACTTGTGCCTGATTATGAAGGAGTCTAGCACATCAATATTCAGGATGAATAGAGATGTTTATTTTTAAAGCTCACCTTTGATGGTTTTGTTCTAATCTGAGAGTTGTGCTGTTATCTCTCTTTTCTTTTCTCTTCTTTTTCCAACAGCTGTGAAAAATGAAACTATTACCAAGGAGGAGCCATCCATTTACATGCAGCTCGGTAGCTTGCTGCCACAGATGTTATACTGTAGGAAAAAAGCTTCAGTTGTATAAAATTCCGATCAGAGACATACAAATGATTACATGGAGTAAGCAGCTTAAGCGTCTAAAATCTTTTATAGGATACCAGGATCTAGACTTTCCTCGTACTTATCAAGGCCTGTCAGCGAGAAAATCAAATGCTGTGCGTCAGCATCAGACAATTTCATATTTCAGCTAAATGCTATGTATCTGTATCTCGGCTACAGTGATTGAAAAGCAAATAAATAAAGACTAATGTTGAGGGCTAGATTTGGAGGAAAGGGTCAATGAGATTGAACTGCTGCTTACCTGGTTGTGTTTGTAATGATGTGCTTTTGTACAGTGCATTTGTGGCTGGTAAATCTGTAATCAACATGAAAATAATTATATTTAAAATCTTTATATTAAAACTAAATGATAATTCAGTGGTTGCCCAGGCAATCCAGCAAGCTTCAGTGGGACAAGATGAAGTGTATTTGTATTTTTCTTTAGGGATCAGAGGCGTGCACATTTAGAACAGTCTTTATCTATATTCCCCTCGTACACATTCCTGGAAGTACAGCTCATCAATGGAGGGTGCTGTAGCAACTACCAGCTGGGACTGGAAACATCATAGGCAAACGTACATATTCGCCAGCACACCATGGATCACCAATATGGTCCAAAAAGGTTTTTATTGCAAAAAGATCACATCACAAAAGAAAGTGCATCGCTTCGGAACCGCGCAGGACCCCTTCATCAGGCATGTGATGACGAAGGGGTCCTGCGTGGCTCCAAAACGTCACACTTTCTTTTGTGATGTGATCTTTTTGCAATAATAACCTTTTTTGGACCATAGTGGAGATCCATGGTGTGCTTGCGAATATGTATGTTTGCATATTTAGAACAGACCTGCTCCATGTTTAAATTAGAACAGTGGGCACAACCAATAATTACAGATATTATCAAATCTGTCCATGCCATTAACAGAGCAGTTATTTGTTTTTCTGATTCTCTTTATAACATTGTTCATATGCCAGTAAATCTATTTTTTTTTTTTGCCTTTAACAACCAAGCTGTCCATCAAAAGTAGGGGTTACAGAGGTTGCAGAAAGCCACTCAAAATGGAACTACATCCATCGATTTAACTGTTTCCCAAAAGAGGTACATTGGTAACTGTTACAGTTGCTTATACTCTCTGTCCTTGGACCCCTTCTCTTCTCCATCTACACCTCCTCCCTGGGCAAACTCATACACTCCCACGGCTTCAACTATCACCTCTACGGTGACGACACCCAAATCTACCTCTCCACCCCTCTCCCTCACCCCCACTATCTCCGCCCGCATCACTCACCTCCTAAATGACATCTCCGACTGGATGTCGCTACATTTCCTCAAGCTCAACCTCTCCAAAACCGAGCTCCTCGTCTTTCCCCTGCCCACACCCCCCCCCCCCCCCCCATCCTATCCATCATCACCAACAACTCCACTATCACTCCCGTCCCGCAAGCCAAAGTCCTTGGCGTCATTCTTGACTCGAACCTCTCCTTCCAACCGCATGTCAAATCACTCACAAACACATGCAGGCTCCATCTCCGCAACATTGCCAAGATACGTACCTTCCTCACCCTTGACACCACCAAACTTCTAGTACACTCCCTCATCATCTCACGCCTTGACTACTGTAATTCTCTTCTCACCGGCCTACCCAAGTGCAGGCTCTCCCCGCTCCAGACCATCCTGAACTCAGCGGCTAGACTCATCCACCTCACCACCCGCTCCACCTCTGCCACCCCCCTCTGCCTCTCCCTCCACTGGCTCCCGATTGCCCAACGCATCAAATTTAAACTTCTAACCCTGACCTACAAAGCCGTTCACAACACTGCCCCTGACTACCTCACCAACCTGATCCCCAAGTACCGTCCTACCCGTACCCTTCGCTCCTCACTGGACCTCCTTCTATCCTGCTCCCTGGTCTCCTCCTCCCATGCACGACTACAGGACTTCTCCAGGTCCTCCCCCATCCTCTGGAACTCACTGCCCCAATCCATCAGACTGTCGCCTTCCCTCTTCACATTCAGGCGCTCCCTCAAAACCCATCTCTTCAGGGAAGCCTACCCCACCCTCACCTAACTGCCATTCTCCCTCTTTCCTCCCACCCCTCATTCCCCTCAGCCACTTCCTACTGTACCTTTACCCCCTCCCTTCTAGATTGTAAGCTCGAAAGAGTAGGGCCCTCTTACCCCTCGTACGGTGTTTGTTATTGTTGTACTGTGCCATGTATTGTCCCCCCCTCTATTGTACAGCGCTGAGCAAACCCTTTGGCGCTATATAAACTCGATGTAATAATAATAATAATAACCAGAGGCGAACTGACCATTTGGAAACTCGGGCACTGCCCGAGGGTCTGGGGTCAGTAGGGGGCCCCATGAGATGCCCCTGGTACCTTTTTCATAGGCTTTTTTGAGTTTGGGCAAGGACACAGGGGCCCCATGATCCCCTATTGCCCGGGGGCCCCATGATTTGTCAGTCCGCCCCTGCTGTCAACCAAACTGTCAAGCCATCAACTGCTGTCATAACTGAACCCATGTGCAGCACCATGACAATTGCAGATCAAACAGAAACTGTACCTTGGGTGTAAAGGATAGGAGGATTTAGTTCTGCTTTAACACTGACAGTGGCGCTTACAGTGGTCAGCTTATATTCAAGGTAGGCTTGGAGCAAAAAACAAAAAGGTATATATATATATATATATATATATATATATATATATACTGTATATATATATAGGCAAAGGGCATTCATGGCTATGTGAATAGGGGAGTTTCAAAGGGTTAATGTTTGGCCTGTGTGTTGCAATCACTTCCCTAATTGGTTTGTATAGTTGTCTAGGAGGAGCTTTGGAGATTTCAGGAAGGGGTGGAGAGCAGGGGCGGACTAGCCATTTGGAAACTCGGGCACCGCCGAGGGCCCGGGGTCAGTAGGGGGCCCCATGAGATGCCCCTGGTACCTTTTCATAGGCTTTTTTTGAGTTTGGGCAAGGACACAGGGGCCCCATGATCCCCTATTGCCCGGGGGCCCTATGAGTTGTCAGTCCGCCCCTGGTGGAGAGTTCCAGATGGTGATCAGTGGATGGAAAAGGAACTTCCACCCACCCTTCATTTTCTTGGAATCCTTATAACATTGGTCATCAAAACAACCTGATGGTTGTGTTCTTTGGAGGGGGAAAAAAATTAATAGTTGGGGACCCATCGGTGGTATAGTATCCTCTGGTGCATTCCAGTTACTGGTGGGATAATTTGGAATTTGGGTCATTCAGGTCTCTTTGGTTAATTGGAATATTGTCTCCGAGCAGGTGTGTGGCAGCGGGGGGCCTACTATATTTAAGTGCTTCCAAAAATATAAAGCTGAAGATATGTTTAGCACCTTCAGAGATCCGCAACCTGTTGAATGTTTCTGTTTTAAAGGAAAATTGTGATATTCATGTGTGACATGGGGTAATTAGCTCTCATGGTCGATGATTATTTTATTGAGTCCACGGCAGACAGGAACTATTTTTAAGGGCTGGTTAGCCAACTTTTATTTAAAAGAAAGCAAAAATTCACAAACAAATTATTTCCCACTCAGTGGATCTTCAACAGAAATCCATACACTGTAAAATGCCGAGGTTCCTGGCTTATAAGCTGACTCAGATTTACTTGCAGTATTTCTCCTGGATACTTGGTTCTCTAGCCTTTAGACACAGCAGTACTGCTGCAGGGCAGCAGGGCTGTGCAAAATCATGGCCTGGTCAGTAAGGGGGGGGGGGGTAAATCCTCAGGAGGGCAAGTGGTTAAGTTGGCTGTACACATACCGAAATTCATCCAGTTCTTGGTGAATTTTGGTACGTGTGTAGCCCTGTGTTTTCAACAGAAGTCAGATTAATGCTATATTGGTACATAGGGGAACTGGAATTTAGAAAAAAAAAAGGTGAACTTGATTCTAAAGGTTTATTTTTTTTTTTTAAAGAAAAAATATCAAACATGTCTATACTTACCTGCTATGTGCAGGTTTTTATGCACAGAGCAGCCTGGATCCTCCTCTTCTCGGGTCCCCCGCAGGCTCTCATGTCCCCTCCCCCCTGTCGAGTGCCCCTACAATAAGCAACTTGCTATTGGGGCACCTGCTGCTCCGTGTGTCCATTCACACACAGAGCTGCAGCTTGGCCCCACTCCCCCTCTCTTCTCGATTGGCTCATTGGTTGTGATTGACAGCAGTGGGAGCCAATGGCATCACTTCTGTCTTAGACAATGAGAAGAGGGTGTCCTAGGATAGCCGATACTCGAGTGAACATCACTGGATCAAGAGGGGGCTTATTGGGGGGGGATACTGCACACTGAAAGTTGTTTTACCTTTTTTACCTTCATGCATAGAATGCATGAAGGTAAAAAAAAACTTGAACCTTTAGAACCACTTTAAAGTGGAACTGCGCTCTCTCAATCAACATTGACAATTTTTAATCATTATGCTGCTAGCATTAGTAAATAAATAGGAAAATACATAATATTTACTTGATTTCAGCTTCTGCCTAACTAACCCTCCTGTCTGAATGCCCAGGCTAAGGGCAGATAGATTCCAGGAAGTAAATGCTTCATGAATCATCTGCCTTTGCTCTAGATGCCAATGGCTAGAAATACTAGAGGGTGTTTTTCAAAGTGATTTTTCAAAAATTAAAGCATAGAGACATGGATGGATGGATGGATGGATGGGGGGAGCTTGCTTTGAATATGAAAAAACAAATTAAATAGCGTTTTTTGGTTTGTGGTGCTAATATGCAGTGTAGTTCCAGTCTTCTAATCTCTGATGTAAACACAGGGAAGGTGCTCTGTAGGTGCTCTTAGAGAATGACTTGAATAACGTTAGTGCTTCTGTGAAATTTGAGGATGAATTGTTCCAAGGTGCATGTAGCAGAGGCCAGTAATGACTTTTTTTTAAAGGAGCACAAAACAATAATACATGAACAAAAATGAGCTGTGAGGTTACCTGTGGGTTTTTTTTTTGTATCCCAAACAATTCTTCTGGCAGTTGAGGCTGCAATCTTTCTTGGTGTGCCTAAGTTTGGCTTGGTATCAAGAGCAGGGGCGGACTGACAACTCATGGGGCCCCCGGGCAATAGAGGATCATGGGGCCCCTGTGTCCTTGCCCAAACTCAAAAAAGCCTATGAAAAAGGTACCAGGGGCATCTCATGGGGCCCCCTACTGACCCCGGGCCCTCGAGAAGTGCCCGAGTTTCCAAATGGTCAGTCCGCCCCTGATCAAGAGATCCCCGAACTTTTCACTTCTTAATAAGTGATTGAACAGTACTGACTGGCATGTTCAAGGCTTTGGATATCTTTTTATATCCTTTTCCATCTTTATAAAGTTCCATTACCTTGCTCTGCAGGTCCTTTGACAGTTTTTTTTCTGACCCCATGGCTCAGTATCTAGTCTGTTCAGTGCATTCACATGAGAGCTAAAAAACTCATTGACTATTTATACAGACACTAATTGTAATGTAAAAAGATACAGATGCGGGAAATTAACTTTTAATTGCCATTTTAACCTGTCTGTGTGTCACCTTGTACATCTGTACTAAGGCCAAACATTGCAGAGTATGTAAATACTTGATCAGGGCTATTTCTCTTGTCAATATGATTTAAAAAGGAGCCAAACAACTATGTGATAATAAATGGCTTCATATGATCCCTATCCTTTTATAAAAGACAGTTTTATGACATAATCAGTTTTATTTTTCAATATAAATCCCAATGCAATTTCTGCCAGGGTATGCAAACATTTGAGCACAAACAGGGGTGGACTAACCATTTGGAAACTCGGGCACTGCCCGAGAGACCAGGTTGCCAGTAGAGGGCCCCATGAGATGCCCCTGGTACCTTTTTCACAGGCTTTTTTGAGTTTGGGCAAGGACACAGGGGCCCCATGATTCCCTATTGCCTGGGGGCCCCATGAGTTGTCACTCCGCCCCTGAGCACAACTGTAAATATCCAATGGAACCACTTCACTCTCTGTTCTTTCATGAATTCATCCTTTTATTTTGCTTTTAGTAAATACTGTAACTCGATTGTTTTGTAAAGAATGTAGACTTTTTCTCTCTGACCTCCCCTGACAAGCTCTCCTCTGGTATTCAGCGGCTGCATTTTCTCGTAAAAGCTATTATTGTAACTGAACTACTTTTTTGCATCTTTCTTGGGGCTGCTGATCAAACTGTGTGTGGTGAGATCTGTGATCACCTTAGAAGCCACAACACCCCCTTCTTATGTAATACATACCCAACCAAAGGGCAAACCAGCTACTCCTCTATTGTAAATCAAGCTTTTCACTGCAGAATAGGCTCTTTTCACAACCGAACACTCCTGAATGTTATGAAGTATAGAATAAAAAAAAATGTGACATTTTAACAAACACATTTTGTACATTGTATAGGATACACCCCAGTTCTCCCGCTGCTTCTGATCCTTGGCATTAGCAGAAGAAAAAGAAAAGGGCTATTGCAGACTCTGTGAAAAGCAAGCTTAATGAGGCCCCCCAGTCCAATGAAATACAACAACGCAGCCGGCAGAAGTCCGCACTGTAAAGGGAAAGCAGGTTGCCAGGCATAAAGGCTTGAACGCATTGTTTAAAATTGAGACCTGGGCTATAAAATATAAATCACCCCTACAAAGAGCATTATTGCTCTGCCCAAATTGTTCTACATAGAAAAAAATAAATTACAAGCATCAGGGTTCTTGAAAAGGCTGGAGTTGTACAATTTGTGCGAGCCATGGGAGTCAGAGGCAGAACATTAAGGAAGCCAATATACGGAGGAAATGAATTCACCCATGAACACAACCATTTCTCTCTCATCTGTGCATAGACTTCAGGTCACCCAGTCAGAAAGCATTTATTTACTTTGCCTTTTTAATGAACACGCTTCCCAGCTCGCCCATAAGACTTTTCATCTGTAAATAGATGCATTTGCATGTGCGTGTTTGTGTGGGTGAGCGTGCAGCCTGTGTGCAATCATGTACATATAAGCACATAAAATCAAGGGGTAAATAAATTGACTGTGCGGCTTCTAATGTTGCACTAGACATTTTAATAGGACAAGGAAGGGCTCAAAACCAAGTGAGGGTCAGGTGGTCAGCGTACAGTTCAATGATTTCCAGTGCTCTTCATCTGGGATCCTGCATATGGAGAACAGACGTAAGAGGAATAAAGCCGAACTCCAGGCAAATAGCTAATTACAGAGATAAAATACAAATAAACGGGCTTCTTTACCTGTCAAAGGATTTTCCTTTCTGCTAATCCAGTCCTGGGGTTAAATTGAAGGGACATGTTGGAAATCTTTTATCAGTTGGAAATCAGTAGGCTGATAAACTTAGCTTTCTGTCCCTATTGTTTCTCCTTCTACCAGCACGTCCATTGCAGCACATGAGCATTGCAGCACAACTGATTGGCTCCTTGTGTTACTTCTCCCTTTCCCATCCTGAGTTCTGCTGTACAGGGAGTTGTAGGAGTCTGATAGGAAGGCAATTTCAGGTTCTTACACTGCTTTCAGTAAAAACAAAATACATTTAATGATAGACTAATTAATACAGAGCTGTACTCATTTGAGTATTTTATATCTGCTTGGAGTAGACACGTCAAATAAATAGATACATTGCAATAATGTAACTCATGGTGGAAGCACCACTCCACAATTGGCCATTTAAGACCAAAATGAGTTTCTGCATTGATCCTGGGTGGCCCTAAAGCATGGTAAATTGTGTCTTTGGCTCCACAGTGGCAGGCCTGGCTCGGAAGCATAGGGGTTGACTTACTGATGGCAAATAGGCTGCTCACTTTGTAAGGGATTTTTCCCTTTGCTTAGCTAATGTAGTAAAGACTGCCCAAGTTCATACAGGGAAAATAAATGAAAACAGCATTTTTGCTTGTGCATGATTGGAAGATGGAAGCAAGCAGAGCTTCTCCTCATTCAAGGTAAAGGAAAATTCACTTGCAAAGGGAACAGCCTATTTGCCTTTATTAAGCAGAAATTCAAAATTCTTTTTACTTTTTAAGTTAGTCCAAACACACTATTTCTATTACAGAACTAGATGGCTGCTGTGCCTGCTATAAGGGACTGTAGTAGCATTATTTTGGCAGTAGTAAGGGGAGCTTCCCACCTGTTGCCACTCAGGAGAAGTCTTGCATTTTAGTTTATGAATACAAGGCCTTCTCTGATTGGCCCAGGTGGAATTCATTATATCATCTGCCCACCTCCTCACCTTCAGCTTGGCCCAAATAAACTATTTAAAGTTAAATTAAACCTGGAATTATAATCTATTAAAGCCCAAGGTACATGCTATGTATGGCCATTAGAAGCATGGGCCCTTGTGACATGCAGCACTAAACATTCCAAAAGGAAACTATGCAAGTGGTTCTAGACCTCCCATTAAGCACACTTAGACATTGCACTTAGAGCCTTCACATTTTTAGGGCTCATAATGGTGGGAAAACAAAAACATTATTTCTAATGAAAGGTGAAAATTATACCAAAAGATACAATTCCAATGTTTCTGGGCATTTCATAAGCAAGGTTTTTAATTTGTGTTCTCTTTTTAACAAGATCTTCATCTCCATCTCTTAAAGTCAAGTTTATTAGTAATGTTCTCAAAGTCAATATTACATGTAATGTTGCTTTTAGTGTACAGAAGGGACAGAGATTAAAGTGTATCTAAATCCAGGAACAAAAATGTAATGTATTACAGTTTACACGATTCTTAGATGTGATGACTGCATTTGTTTTGATCCTGCATACTTTTTTTCCTTTATTTTCACCTGGAGATCTTGTCACTAGGGTGATAACACTCACTCACTTACTGTACTATATCTATGGAGGAGCAGTGTTTATTTTTTATAATTAGAGAATACCTGGTCCTCTTTTCTTCTCCATAACAAAGGGGAGGGTGTTCTGTGGTCCACAAAGATAGCTGGGAACATGAATACCTGTTAACAGTCAAAAGAGGCAGAGAGCATTGAAAGTTATCAGTTCACAAGATTTCTGTTGGGATCAACAGATATTTTTGTGTAGCACTCTCTTAGATTGCTAGTGGGGTTAAGGCAAATTTAGTTTTTGGCTCCTCTGTTGCCAGTGGAGGTTGCAGTATCAACTGCTTCATCCTGTTTCTAGTGAGTTAGAATTTAGTGCGTTGGAAGTGGCAGACCCTGGAAATGCATATTTATATAGCTTCAGCCAATCCCTAGGAGGAATAATGACCAGAAGGGAGCTGAGGTCTGTATAAATGGGCTGGGGCCTTGGAGGATAAGACCCAGCCTGGAGGGCTGTGGCCCTCAGGGTCACTTAGCTGAAGTTCATAACAAATCATAGAGGTCCCGGCTCGGGTAGAGCTGGGCGGCCTATTCTCTGAAGTTGCTAAGAGCAGTTTAGAGGAAGTCCACTGAGGATCTATGTAATGGAATCACCTGTCACCCCAATTGGGTAATGTGTTGAGAAATGCTTCCTCGCTGATGGGACACAGGACCAAGGTATTATAGCTGAGCATCGCACCCAAGACTAGGCGACACTAGCTTAGGTGCAAACTCTGGAACTATTTATTGTACAGATATACAAGTTTTTATACACTGCAGGAATAGGGGCAGTCCCCACATGAACAATAAAATGAGATATTACATATTGGGATAAACATCCCACACTGATTAGATAAGGAGGTGAAGTTGAAACCAGACTAATCCCATCATGTAGGAGCCTCCAGGAGGACTTGACAACAGACCACAATAGGTGGCTCAATAAACTCAATTAACAATGGTACAAGAACACAGTAAACACATCAAACCTTAATAAACAAATTACACATAACAAGCAGGAAACTTCAGCATCAGGTTGTTTTGAGCTGATTACATTAACATCTGCTCTGAGTCTCTGAGTCTAGGAGGGCTTTTGAAGCAGTCAATGCTGGTTTTGCCACTGAGGCCCCAAATCTGTATCCTGGTCCTCCAGTTCTTAGAGTCTGTATGTTTTGGGGAGACATGGACTTGAATTTGAAGTAAACTACTCCAAAGGTTCCCCCCCTGGCACACACCTTCCAAAGAATAGAGTCCCCTCAGATGCCAGGGCTGTGGTCAGTGGGCAAGAGGCTAGCCTGCAGTCCCCTCCAAAAGCCCCTGTCCTGGTTGGATCTGTCACAATCTGGCCTGGAGGTACATGGAGGAAGACATCCAAGTACACAGGACACAGTGAGTAGACTTGAGAGAGAGAGGTCCTAGTAACTGTCCTTAACTCTTCGAGAGACAGGTCCAGATTTGCTGGCACTGGTTTGCTTATTCATTAGAGTTTCCTGAACTGTAATTCACTAATAACTAGTCACAAGAGGGATTTCACCCTGAAGAGTCAGTTATAGCCAGAGAGTGCCCTCTGTTTGCACTACATTAGGAGAATCCCTAGGCCCACCCTGCAACCAAACCAAGTTTATCCAGCATTAAACTACAAAAAGACATGCACTGCCTGTTTCTTGACTTGTGAGATTGCGGTGCTGTTGTGTGCATGGCTGTCGTGTACATTATAGGGAATAGAACCCTGGACAAAACTACCAGCCCAGTCTGGGGTCTGTGCTACATTTGCAACAGATATCAAACAATATGGCTTATTTAGCAGACAAAAAAGGCAGTAAAAAAAAAGTTTATTGTTAGGGTTTATATACACTTTCAGTACAGTTCATACCACTTCTGTTGTTTTGCCAATTTTACTACCTCCCTCATTCGCTTGCTGATAAATATAACAAGTGTATACCACCTTTTGCCTATACCAGAATCTAGATTTCCTGTATTCCTTACAAAAAAGTATTCATAACAACTAACAACTGTGTAAATAAAAAGAAAATAAAAAAATCTAATTTATTTACACAGAAAAGATGTTTGCTATTAACCACTTGCCCTGCAAAGGATTTACCCCCCTTCCTGACCAGGCCATTTTTTGCGTTACGGCATTGCATTACTTTAACTGACAATTGCGCGGTCATGCAATGCCACACCCATATGAAATTTA